TTGGAAACAAAAATAAAATTTTGTACTAAATGATGAATGAATAGTTGGTTTATAGCACTTCTACTTCACTTTGAATGATCAATAACTTACTTAACACTTAACGGTAAGTAGAATAACCCACAAGCTCATAGAATCATAGGTCAATAGTTCACAAAGTTTTTGAGCTATTGAAAAGATTGAAATCATAGATTCTCCCTTTTGATATTTGACTATCTAGCCCAGTTACGCCCAGACGACACTTAGGTGTTTTCCAACTGCGCAAATTCCTAACTTGTTGTGGAACCTCTTGACGAGGCATTTTGCCTTTGCCTAGTGCTTAGGCAGACCTAAGCGTAAGTTTAAGTGCACCCGAATGATACTGAAATCGTTATACCTGATCCGGGCCACAATATGCATTTACTGGATTTCAATATATTTTTGGGATTTCCTACGGTAACTTGAAGTAAGGTAATTTGAATTTTTTTACCTGCTATAGCAGGTTTCACAAGTCGTATTACGTAAAACACAATAGTCATTACGTAATGGTTACGTAACATATGATAATCTTACGTAACAGTTGTAAAAGATCATTACGGAAGCCTTACGTAATAGAATGTGTCTTTACGTAATGAGTATTAACCTCGCGTTACGTAAAATACAAAGTCATTACGGAAGTCTTACATAACGCTACTGAATTAACTGTTACGTAAGAAATAAATGTCGTTTCGTAACCTTTACGTAATGGAAGGTCTTTTTACGTAATGAGTATTAACCTTGCGTTACGTAAAGTGCTAAGTCATTACGGAAGCCTTACGTAACGGTTCCGATTTAACTGTTACGTAAGAAATAACTATCATTCCATAACCTTTACGTAGTGAATGTGTATTTTACGTAACAGTTGTAAAATATCATTACGGAAGCCTTACGTCATAGAAGGTCTCTTTACGTAATGAGTATTAACGTCGTGTTACGTAAAGAGCTAAGTTATTACGGAAACCTTACGTAACGCTTCTAATTCAATAAGAATTAAAAAAGGAAAGGTTAAAATATGGAAGGACAACTAAATGTGAAAAAAGGAAAGAAAAAATTAAAAAAGGTAACTTGGGAATGTAGTCACCGGCAACTCATGTTGCCATTTATTTTTTTAGTTATTTTTTTATTTTTTATTTCTTTAATCAATGGTTTAAAATAAGTGTGTTCAATTTTAACGGTTTAGATCTATGCAAGTTACCTACTTGAAATTATACCCAAGTTACTGTAGGAGATCCCTATATTTTTTATTTGTATCTTTATACCATAGATCTCGGGACCGGTTATTGTAACAACACCCATTGTGTTGTTATTGCAACAACACTAGTCCCCAACCAATAGGAAGCTAGGATTGTGATGACTTTTCATTAAATGAGTTGACCTAGTGTAAAATCAAAGCAGGGGTATAATTGTCATTATGAAAAATATATTTAAATAAAAAATAAAAAAATAATTTTTTTTATTTTCTACCCAAAAATTAGGTCGTCGGAATTTTGCCACCGGTCGCCGGAAAATGGTCGCCGGTCACCGGAATATGCTTTTTATCGCCGGAATATGCTATTTTGTGGCCGGAATATGCTTACCGGAGTCGGAATATGCTTACCGGCGTCGGAATCTAGTCACCGGGGCCGGAATATGCCTATCGGCGTCGGAATCTTCTCACTGACGGTCACCGGAGTTCGGTCAACGGTCTTCGTTGACCAATCAACGGTCAACGACCACCGGATGTTATGGTCTGCATTGTGAGATTTATGGTTTGGTTTCTCATATTTTTTTATGCCTTTTTATGGTTTGTTTTATTGTGTTTGTGGTTTGCATTGAGAAGTTTCTGGTTTGTTTTCAAAAACTTTGTGGTTTGCATTGTGAGGTTTCTGGTTTGTTTTAATATATTTGTGGGTTGCATTAGGACGTTTATGGTTTGCTTTTTTGTGGTTTGATTTACTATGTTTGTGGTTTGCATTAGGAGGTTTTTGGTGTGCTTTCGCAAATGTTGTGGTTTGCTTTGTGAGATTTGTGGTTTGTTTTAGGAGATTTGTGGTATGCATTAGGAGGTTTTTGGTTTGCATTAAGAAGTTTCTCGTGTGCTTTCGAAACTTTTGTGGTTTGGTTTGCGAGGTTTCTGGTTTGTTTTAATATATTTGTGGTCTGCATTAGGACGTTTTTGGTTTGCTTTACCGTGTTTGTAGTTTGCATTATGGGGTTTCTGGTGTGCTTTTCAAAATATTTATGGTTTGCTTTGTGAGGTTTCTGATATGTTTTAGCGAATTTGTGGTTTGCATTAGAAGGTTTCCGGTATGTTTTTTGTGGGTTGTTTTATTGCGTTTGTGGTTTGAACTAGGGGTTTTTGGTGTTAGAAATATTTGTGATTTTGTTTATTCTGTTTTTGGTTGGTTTTAGTGACTTGTGATCTGCATTAGGAAAATTATAAATTGACTTGTACTCACTAATTGCAATTACAAATGAACTAAATTGGTGTTTTGCAATGAAAATTAAAAATTGCAGTGGTGCTTGTAAATCCCACGGACGAAGTGATACTTGTACAGCAGAGGTTTAATATCTCCGCCACTGATGGCGAAATCCATGGCGGCGCGGTGGAGGCCGTCGAGCTCCAACCGGATAGCTTTGTGGAAGAAGAGGAATATGAGTATGGGGGACTTGAGCTCCACCGTCCTCCGTTCCGACAACGACGACAAAACCAATCACAACAACAAGAACATCAGCAGCAGCCGCCCAACGAATTCCTCCGGCGTCACCAGCACGCCTCGGAACTCCAACAGCAGCGGAACTCCCAGCAGCGACCACGCCTCTTCCTCTCCGCGCACCACCTGCTCGCCGTACGCCGGCGACCAATTGTTCTCCCCCTGGAACGTCAACAGCAGCCACCACCCGTTGTCTCCGTACATGAAATCCCCCTGGATTATCCCTTCCCCTGCGCTCTTCCCCAACGACGGCACCGGCAGCGGGGACAAGGAAAAAGAAGTACCTCAAGAACACGCTGGTTGGCACTAGGGCTGGAAACACAGGGAATTGAGAGCTTCAAGCGGCCCCTCGCCTATTGAAACACAAACCCCAGGGCGGGTAAACAAGAGTGAGAGAAAAGAATCAACAATTTCCTTTAGGCATTCATTTATCATATCGAATTCAGAAATCGGACATGCCTGATTGAGAGCTCCACCGGCGGGATTGGCACTGGCGCAGTAGGATGGGTGTTTGATGAAACTCAATCTAAGAACCACACAAAAGAAGCAGAGGCGGCGGAGAAGAAGCAGGTGTGGCGAAGGACGAAGCGTGGCGGAGTAGAAACGTCGCCACTGCGGGGTGGTCGGAAGGCAGAACGTCGGAGATGCTCTCCCGATGCCCAGCTGCCGTATCGTCGATGGATGAAAGGAAGAAGATAGATTGAGATCTGGATGGGATGCAGGGATGAGACGGAGAAATTTGATTCATTATTTTTTAATTTCATTTAATTTAATTTCATTTAATTGTAAGTTTACTCTTATACCCTTGTTGTTACAGTAACAACAAAAGGGCTGTTGTTATTCTATCCGTTCCCATAGATCTCCTATCTAAGATAATATAATTGGAGTCATGTCATTGAAACTTGTTGTCCTCCTACCCGAGTAACCAGCTTCGTAAATCTGACAATGGATGCGTTCAAACAATTCATAATAAATTTTGATTTGTTGTCACGATGCTCATCCCATTTTACAGATCAAATTGTGGGGCTAGTTACATAACAATTCTGGAAGGATGCTTGGGGGCCATGGCCGCATAGATTACCACGAATAGATCAGATTTGGACAAGTTGCACCAACAAAGAAATTAAAGTCACACCACCTCAAGTACAAAAAACAGTAACATAATTGGAACAATAGTAGAACACTGTGGATGGAACCTGATCATCGTTGCACCAGCAAGTCCACATCCTTGGCAAATATGTATGTAATTAGAGAGGGCAATAGCAGGTAGGGTTTCAATTTGTCAAAGCACACGGCTGAGAATTGTAGGGTAGGGGGAGCCATTGATATCCAGAGAGTGACCCAAATTTTGCCAATGTATCAAAGCGACCCATAAGTACAGGTTGGATTGTTTCTCTGGATAACGAAAGTTGGCCCCAAAGTGGGAAGTACGTGTAGCTCTCGACTGGTTTTTTGTGTCGCTTTGTAGTTATATGTGGAGGCTGGAAAGTTTGGCACGGAGCAAAGCATCTTGTCCTCCTGGGAGAGTCTCTGTTGCAGCAACCTGAAAACTATTGGACGGTTAGAAAGAAAAGAGAAATGAGGATAAAGTAGACATAAAGTATGAAGGGGTTGTTGGGAATGAATAGCTTTGACAGCTATATTGAATTAATTATCCCGTATTCTTTCTAGATACGAAAATAAGAAGGATAATTGATAAAAAGAATATTATGGAGATAATTAGGATTAATTATCTTAATATAATATAATATATTTTAATTATGGGAGTAATTATCTCCCTAATTAAAATGTAACTTATTCCCAAAGAAAGAGGGAATATTCTGGGTTTTCTGCTCCTATAAATAGGAGACGCCCCAGACCCTCTAAACACACCTCAGAAGAGCAGAAACACGAGAGAGAGTGAATTCATAGAGCTCCGGTTTTTCGCACAAAATCGATGAGCAAGAAAACTAGAATGGCTGTTTTATCCTGGAGGCGACCGGCTGATAGTCTGCTGTGCGCAATACGAGGCAGTGCCGCGAACGTCTTAAAGAGAGCGACCTAGTCCGCGACTCAGCCAGATCGGTTACCCTAATATTTTTTTTTGATCGGTTTCTAACAATTTTAAGACGTTTGGTTGCTGTCAAAGTACCGAACTGGATACCGATTATGGCTGGATCGATTGCTCTCGTTATGTCGCTCGGAAAAGGACTATTGAATCTTGTCCGCCGACATTCTCCCTGTATTCGATGATGCCATCGCCGACGTGTTGTCCGTGTCGCTGGACGTTGGGGACATCTCCGCTGTTGCCCTCTTATATGGCTGATATCAGAAGATAAAGAAAACGAGCATAGAGATGAATCGCGAGCAGCAGCGGTGGCGAAGGGAGGAAAGAAGAAGGGAGTCTCCTTCGTGATCAATTGCGGGAAGCCTGTGGAGGATAAGATCATGGACATCGCTTCGCTCGAGAAGTTCCTCCAGGAGAGAATCAAGGTGGGCGGCAAGACCGGCGCTCTCGGCGACGCCGTCGCCATCTCCCGTGAAAAGAACAACATAACCGTCACATCCGACAACAGGTTCTCTAAGCGTTGATTAGCGTAGATCCACGGAGCTAAAAGAAGTCTGAAAGGAAAGGGAAGCAATTGATTCTCGTAAGCTGCGTGCGTTCGAGCTTCTTGTAAAGTCCGATAGGCCGAACTGAGGCTGCAATTCCGACCAGTTCCTTGTTGGGTCGTGGAGCTAGCGTTGCAACAAAAATTCCCTCCGCGGCATAATGTTCCCACCATTGGTGTCTCCTGGAGATGTACCATGAGGAAGCAGTCCCCTGCCAAATCCTCAGTTCCTTGCGTTCCAACAGGAAAGAATCAGAGAGAAGATAGAATAGTGGAATGGCCTCCCAATTGAAGCCTTCCCTGGTCCGCTTGTAAAAAGGGGGAATTAATTCTCTCCAATTTCGGGTCCTTTTGGACAAGCTAATTGACGATAAGGAAGAAATTTGAGAATCTCAATTTAATGGAAGCTTATCGGTCATGAGCTCGGGTGGTAAAATTTCTAGCACTAACCATTCGAGCCCTATGTTGGAGGATATGGCAGTGGCTGGTCCTCTTTGCTTCAAGGAAAAGTTGAGTATACAGCGGCCGTCTCAATATAGAATAAAGGAATCGAGGGAAGCTATGCGTGGTGCTAGCTATTTGCAGTGAATTCAGAATACAATGACTTCTTGAAAAGAGGTAAGAACTGAAACCTTTCTCGTGAGTCATTAATGAATGATATTAGAATCTATTCTATGTGGCTCTATGCATGGAATTGAGAAAGGTTATGAATGCTAGAATGAAAACTTGAATTGATGCATGATAAGTTGACATTGAGATATATTATGTATCTCGATGATTATAGCATAAATTGAATACATGCTATCGAAAAAATGATTTTGTCTAAATGAGTGCATTGAAGAATTTATGGGTATAAAATGGGTTTATTGCCCATAATAACGATATTGTAAGAAGTACTATTATTAGTACTACACGAACCACTTAGGCTGCTCTGAAACATTAAAGTTTCAAGAATGAAAGCAGCAAGTCGAACCAGATCCACACCAAATTGAATGGTAACCTTTGTGGTAACCATAAGATCGCCACCCAATCCTCTGAGAATGACGCTATGTTTCTTTGTTAAATTTGTGAGAAACTAGGTCATAAGACACGAAAGTGTAAGAACAAGTTTAACCTAGTGTTAACTTGACTAAATAAGAGGATTTGGTGGTAATAATCACTAATGGGGTGATAGGCCTTAATGGCAACTCTGAAGAATGGTGGTTGGATGTTGACGCCTCAAGGCATGCAGTAGCTAAGCTGAATCATGCATTGAGGCGTATTGAAGGAGAAAGTGTTGTTGGGCACGACCCTCACCACTATTGTTGATGGTTCTATGAAAGTGGAAGTGAACGTAAGGAATGATTAAGTAGATTAAATGAATTCTTCTGTGTGGCATGTGCGTCATTGTGAAGAATTATAATATCTAAGGTCGCATTCCCATATCATGTAGTGAAGAATCGAAAGATCTTATTTATCTGATATGGATAAACATGATGGAAAGACAATAAATCATTTATTGCTATATAAGGTGCTTTGTCTAGTTATTTGAGATGTTAATTTGAAATGACTTGAGAAATGCTTTATCGCATTATTAATGATTGCACTGATTATTCGATATGTGGCATGCATGTGGTAGCGTTAGAGAATCAGTGACATGATAACTAGAAGAGCATATGAGTGTGTAAGTTATTGTAAAACACATAAGCCTATGAGACGAAATACTCATTAGTTTGTGAAAACCATTGATGTCAATAGATTCCATTTATATTAAAAAATAGTGGGGGTGATATCCTGCCTACTATTAGAAATAATGGATAACTAGTGGGGGTGATGAATCTGAGTATGAACTCAGAAGAGACAAATGAACCATAAATCACGAAAGGATTTTGGTTATGAATTTGTTATTTACACCCTAAGAAAGAAAGATCCTACAAGTCTGCTAGAAGTTCGAACTTCCATAAAGATGCAGAATTGTGGGAGAATCCATTATTAACGAAATGGAATTATTGGAGTCTAATAAGACTTAAAATCTTGCAGAGTTACCTCTTGGTTGAAAAGCCTTGGGTAATATATCGATAGAATCGAACAAGATTTGGCATCTTTGAGAATTACCTCTTGGCAATGATGCCAAGGTAATAAATGGATTCCTAAAATGAAATGTGATACCTGATGGTTTAGTTTATGAGTATAATGATCGCCTAGTAGCGAGGGCTTTAGTTGAAGGGAAAATAAATTGTAGATTTCTTTGATATCTATTCACCAATATGTAGAATAACATCCATCACATGGACGTTAAAATACCTTTTTGAATGGTGATTTGAATAAAGAAATCTACATTGGGACAATCTTAAAGATTGTTATTCTAAAACATGTTTCTAGAGTCTATGGTTAGACAAATCATTATATGATTTGAAATAGACTCAGAATTAGTGTCATGAATAATCAGATTCTCTCTCATGGTTTTAAAAGTGAAAGTGACAAGTGCATTTAGTACAAATTTGAGAATGACACTTGCATTATGAATGACACGTCGATCTTTGGGTACAAAGACTCGTGATGTCAATATTGAAAAACCATGATGGTTGAGAATTTTGAATGTGAAGGATCTGTTTGAAACAAATGTTATTCTTAGAGATCCTAATAACTAGGAAAATACAAGATGTACACCTGCATACATGTTTGTTGGTGCTAGTATAAATATTTAAAGAACACCTAAGATGGTGTAAGAAAGTTAGAATATACTAGCATTTACAGTCTGCGAGAGGCAGCTGATAAACATGAGACCCGATTTAGTGGGGGTACTTGGCAGGATTATTGATTGTCCTAGTATGAAGCATTGAAATGCTATTGAAAGGGTCATGAGACACCTTAAACGAACAGAAAAAACCTTGGTATTTGTTATCAAAGGTTTTGCTGTATTGGTAGGGTATAATGATGCGGATTAGAATACCCTATAGAGGACTCCAAGACAACAAGAGGATGTGTTTTAAACATCGATAGAGAAGCTATGTCTTGGAAGTCTAAGAAGTAAACGATCCTGGCTCAATCAACTAAGAAATCGGAAATGATAGAACTAGCAATGGCTAGTAAAGAGGAAAGTTGATTGGGAGGGTCACTACTAGAGATTCCCTTATGGGAAAGACCGATCCCTCCGGTAGTTGATTCATTGTGATAGCACCGCAGCTATTACTAAAGAAGGGAACCGGTTCTAGAACGAAAAGAGACGACAAATTTGTCGTAAGCACAGTACTGTAAGAGAACTCCTAACGATAGGAGCATTGAACTCCAAACCCATGGGTTTATCCACCAAAAAAATCGGGGTAAAACCCACTGGATTTGGAAAACTCAAACCCAACCCGCTGGGTATCCGCGGGTTTATGGGTATCCATGGGTTCATCTACAAAGATGCAATTACACTAGTTTTCGCTACTATTGTCTACTACAGTAACATACACACTAACTTACAAATCATTCATACTAGTTGTTTAATATTAAAGATAAACATCCACAAACAACATGATTTATTGAACGTGCGAGGAATTAGTTTAGAAATTATAGTTAATTAGTTAAGGATTCCGTGGGTCGTGGGGGCATCAACTTGGGTGCGGGGATCACGGGTTGGATATGGCTAAACCCAAATCCAACCCACAAAAAGTATAGCGGGTTTAAACCTAAACCTGGCCCGCAATCCGTCAAAGTGAGTTTACCCGCGTTAACCAGGTTGGATCTAATAGGGTACCCGTATATTCGGGTTCTACTACGAATGATAACATGCTTGTGTAAATTATGGCGAAAATTGTAGTAGATAAGTAAGTGAAATGGTATTTAGTATTATACACTTTTTTGGGTGCACTCAATGCACCCAACTCTAAAAGTGTCTATAATACATCAAATTTTGAACTTTAATTAGTACTCTCAATCTAATATGATGATATGACATAGAATCATACCAAATCAATCTATTACCCTAACCCCTTAACCTTCAATTTTGAATTATATATATATATATATGGTGGCGTATTCGGTGCACCCACTTTTTTGGTTGCACTCAATGCACCCGTCTCATAATTGTCATTCTGAGCATGCGATTCATATCAAAACGATATCAACTGTTGCTTATGATATTATGAACAAGAAGCACATGAATTTGAAAAAAAATCATTCAAAATTTAATTTAATTTGAAGGATTTAGGATTTAGGGATTTAGGGTTAGGGTTTAGGTTTACAATTTGGGATTTTGGGTTGGGATTCAAAATTGAAGGTTAAGGGGTTAGGGTAATGGATTGATTTGTTATGATTATATCTCATATCATCATATTAGATTGAGAGTACTAATTAAAATTCAAAATTTGATGTATATATATAGGTGGCTACTTCGGCGCACTCACTTTTTTGGGTGCACTGAGTGCACCCAACTCTAAAATCGTCCATAATACATCAAATTTTGAACTTTAATTAGTACTCTCAATCTAATATGATGATATGAGATATAATCATAACAAATCAATCTATTACCCTAACCTCTTAACCTTCAATTTTGAATCTCAACCCAAAATTCCAAATTGTTAACCTAAACCCTAACCCTAAATCCCCAAATCCTAAATCTTTCAAATTAAAGTAAATTTTAAATGATTATTTTTCAAAATCATGTGCTTCTTGTTCATAATATCATAAGCAACAATTGATACCGTTTTGACAAGAATCGCATGCTCAGAATGACAATTATGAGGCGGGTGCACTGAGTGCACCCAAAAAAGTGGGTGCACCGAATACGCCACCATATATATATATATATATATATATATATATATATATATATATATATATATATATATATATATATATATATATATATATGGGTTTAACAAGTAACATATCATTCGGATAATCATCCAACATTAACTAACTGATAAAGTGCATTTGGGGTGAAGTGGATGAATTTTTATAATAACTTTGAAATTGAACGTGTTCAGCATGGAGCAACGTAAAAATGAATGACCTCTTATGATGTTATCACAATGCACCGTAAAATTATATATGTGCGGGAGTAGTTCAAAGCGAATAATTTTTGGTGAGAGAAAATATTTGGGTTGCTACGGACTACGGAGCATTCTTTTTGGCATTTACTTGGGCTTTTCATACTGTACTTTTGCGGTTGAAGGATGGGTCAAAGCCTAATAAAGGATGGGCTAGAGGCCCAATGGTGGATGGGCCAAAGTCCAGCAGTTAATTGAACTTCACTCCATTGTGAATTGCTCTGGATAATCGAGACAACAATGAAATGCGAAAGTTGGCCTAAGCTGGAAATTAGGGTGGATGTGGTTACTCGTAAAATTGAGGTGGGTTGCGGGTAACCACACCCACAAATATAGAATTATGATATCCACAACCCATCCCGCAGTGGGTAGTGGTTAACCCGTTGCGAGTTGGTTGTGGATACCCACAAAAATTTCACATTAATTATAATAATATGGTAATTAAATAGTGATATTGTATTTCTTCTCAAACAAAAACATACATAAAAGAAAGTTAATAAAGTGTTAAATAAATTATAAATCTCGAATACAATAGGTTAGTTAGTGTAAATTCAGAAGAGATGGATTTGTAAAGAAGTTTGAAGGTAACGGAGAGGCGGAGTGACTTGTTACCAGACAAACATCGTTGCATGTCACACGGCTCCTCCGATGGCAACAAAAACAAAACACAAAAGTGGCTCGGTAAGTGGAGGCGCCCGCTTTTAATGAATTGATTATTCTCCACTCTCGATTATAGTATTGTATTGTTGGTAGCTGGTTGCATGTTGTGTTGTTCGTGAGTTCGCGGAGAAATGGAGATAAGTTTGGGTATCAAACTAATTTTTATCGAGTATTCCTCTCTTTTAACGAATTGACTAATTTATCTTACTATATCTATGGATTTGATTTTGTTATAAAATAAACATATACCATACGGACAATGCTTATTTGACAAAAGTATCTCACATGAACATTGCGTATTGACTTGATTTTGTTTTATAGAATACGTGTGTATTTGATTTTGGTAGCTAATTTAATTCTTAGTCTTCCAAGTTTCACAAACTAATATAACTAATGTGGTTAATAAGGGTTACAAAGTATTTTTTTAAGAAATAAATATAACTAATGTGGTTAATGTGGATTTTGTGGGTAAATCGTTGTGGGTAGCGGTTAACCACTAACCACAAAAATCAATATTTTGCTACCCACACCCAACCCACTATCCACAAATTGTGGGTATGGGTATCCACAAAGTGTGTGGTTTGGTGTGGTTTGCGGGTTACCTGCAACCCGCAAACCAAACTTCCACCCCTACTACCATTTGCAACACAACTTCACTACCAACTATTGACTTAATAACTATTGATTGACTGATTGTTAAATATGGGTGTGTTTGGATAGAATGATTTGGATGTGGTATTTGTGATTTGAATTTCTAAATGTTAAATCATGTGTTTGGATATTGATTACATTTGGTATTTGGATTTGTGGCAAATCCATGGGGTGATTTTCAAATACATGTCTAGTGTATTACTTGTCAACTTCAAATACATTACAACAACTAGTGACTTGCAATACCTCATAACAAAAAATTGGACCTATTGGTAAAATATTAAAAGTTTAGGTACTATAGTGTGAGGCAAAGCATATAAAGGTATCAAAATGTAATTTTACCATCAAAATGTTTGGACCTTTTCATAAAATTTGAAAAGTTTAGGTACTAAATTGTAAGAAAAATAAATTTGAGTACCAAAAAATAATTTACCAAAATGTCCAAAATTAAAATTTAAAATCATGAAATTTAAAATACAAATAAGTATCCAACAACGAATTTGAATTACATGTATTTCAAATGCTAGTATTACAAATGCATGCATTTAAAAACATACATTTCAAATACCTTACATTTGAAATACACCTATCCAAACGCACGCTAAATGTATTATGGTCTATACATGTATAGTATTATATATGTATTAATGAAGTTGACACATTGTAAAATACAATGTTTTACATGTGTCATTGTGTTAAAATGAACATAATACGTGTATAATGCATTTGAGCAGAATGTGAGACCACCAATCATTCGTTGTGGATGATTGTCAATCTCTCATTTTTGGAAGTAATGCCAAAATCATTCAATCTCCAAACAATGTATTTTTCAAATTCATACATTGTCACAATACTTCTAATTAGAACACATAAATTGATTAAATACATCAATTTAGAGAATCCTAACTATAAAAAATGCTCATATCACGTCACATAAATAATTCATGTATTGCGTATGAAAGATAAAAAAATAAAATAATGTATTCTAGACAATACAAAGTATGAAAAAATGATATATTCTAGACAATACAAAGTATAATAGCAATCTAAAAACTACAATAGTAACTTAAAACCACCCCTAGTTAGTAATCGTTTTGTTGCCTGAATACCAAATCAAACAACGGAGCACATAGTGAATCGACCACAACTGAGTGAAAGTAGGGTTGCAAATGAGCCAAGTCGAGTTCTGACCAAGCCTAGGTTCAGCTTGTTTACTAGAACCTTGGTTTCTGTTTGACTCGAGCTCGACTTATTAATGAGGTCATGAGTTGTACTCGAGCTCGGCTCATCAATTAGCTCGCGAGATCGGCTTGAGCTAAGGTATCAATACCATTTTGTTCATAAATTCTAATTGTCCATATCATGTTATTTGATAATAGATAGTATCTAAACAATCTATGATACATCATGTCTCTTTTAAATTATAAATGAGGTATATTTGAACCATATGCTCAAATTCTTAAACATCATACGTGGTAAGATATATAATCTAACAAATATATGAATTATCAACAAGGCAATGAAAAACTATTAACCGATTCTCTCATAAGTTGTTAGTTGAGGTGACCTGCTAGCCATACTTTCGAGTCAGCTCATAGCTCAAAACGAGTTACCTCGCGAATTAAGCTCAACAAATCACCGAGTCTAGCTTGGTCAAGAGCCTTGCTAACTGAACAAAACTTAGCTCAACCTCGTTCATTAGCGGACGAGTCAAATATTGAACGAGTTGTTTCCAAACGAACTTTTTAAACCATTTGCAAAACGAAGTGGGAGTAGATTGAGAGTTAAACAAAGGGCAAAATGGGCATTAAATCAGGTGATGTAATTGTGTAATTAAGCATAAAGCATTTATTCCCATCCAAATTGTAAAGCTAAAGACATAACATAAGGTAGCTTAAGGTTGGTCCAAACTGACCCGACCAAAAAGTCAACAAAGTAGATTTTCTGGACTCTGTAAAGGCAGTAAAGCTAAAGTAAGGATTTAATATAAAGCCAAAGGAATTGAATAATACAAATTACCTGCACCATTACACAACACAATCGCTCATCTGGCTTTTCTGCATGGCCAATGTTTCATTTTTTTTTTTTTTTGTGTGTGTAAATTGTTTCAACTTTCAACACAGCAGAAACTGAGAGTACTTGTTATAGTTCATTACTTCGTTAGATTAGGGATGAGATGAAAGCATATGATAATTCTGTTGGCATTATTTTCTTCTATCTTCTTAATTATTTTATTGGTAGAATGCCATTTCTATAAAATAATGCGAATATATGCTATTCGGTAATGTACATGAACGATCTTAGAGTACTAATATAAGTACTAATATAAACTAGTAAATTCTCCATAGAACTACCGATGAGATTGGGTTATGATATTGATGATGTTACATTACATCTGAATCTGAGTGACAAAGCTGCTGCACTAGTGATAAAGGTAGCATCTTTTGCTGTGTTGTGGGCGCCTATAAACTTTAGCTTTTGATTTTGCTCTAACGTTGAGAGATTCTGTTACACTCGCAACTTTTCCCAAAAGGAAAGTAAAGCCAGAAACCGTGTTGAGTCTTTTTTTAGTTTTCTTGGGAAAAGAAGGAAAAAAGATGCCAAAGCTTGTAGAGGGAAGAAAAAGAAAGAGGAGAAGATCTTCATCATGTGAATGAACAATTGCTCCTGCACTGAACTAAAGGGTAAGCACCCTGAAAACTGTAGTGATTAGAACAAAAGAAGATCGTGTCTTTGGTAAACACAAACCTCAAAAAAACTTCACACAGACACCATCCTCAAAGCTCATAGATTTCCTCAAAACATCCGCGGTACATTTCTTACACACAACTGACAACTAACACACAAATCCAAACACAAAAGAAGGAATCATGGGTTTTGTTTCTTGTCTTGGTTCTGCTCCTTCAATGGCTATATATTGCCATTTCCTGCTTCTTTCCTTGTTGCTTGTCCCTCCAGCTCTCTCCCAAGTCTCAGGTTTGTCTCTTCTCTGGTTCAAATTCTCCATCAAGCTGACAACTTTTACAAGTGTTTTCTCTATGTTGTTACCTTAAACCCCAATTTGAGGGTTCCTCTGCCCGGTGCTGCAGAATTTGTGAGCATAGACTGCGGAGGAACAACCAACCACACCGATTCAAGAACGGGGCTCCAATGGGTTTCAGACAGCAACCTAATGAGAACTGGGAATTCAGTTTCTATCCAGAACCCAGATGGGAATTTGGAGCAGTACAAGAGAAGAAGAGATTTCCCAATAGACAGCAACAAAAAGTACTGCTACAACTTGGCCACGAGGGAGAGAAGGAGGTACTTGATTCGAGCTACATTCCAGTATGGCAACTTGGGGAATCAAGATGCGTACCCAAAATTTGATCTTTACTTAGATGCTACCAAATGGTCTACTGTCACGATTACGGATGCATCTAGGGTTTATGTGAATGAGATGATCATAAGGGCACCTTCTGGTTCGGTTGATGTCTGCATATGCTGTGCCTCCACTGGCTCACCGTTCATATCTACTCTGGAGTTGAGGCCATTCAATCTTTCCATGTATGCGACTGATTTTGAAGGGGACTTCTTTCTCAAGGTGGCTGCTAGGGTCAATTTTGGCGCGCCTACCAAGGATGCTATGAGGTAATATGTGTTCTTGTTTGGATATGATGCTGCGAGGTCTGTAACAATGGTTGTTAAGCTAAATCACGTCGTCTCATTTTGACATGATTTGTCAGTTAGTTCCGATGAATCATCATGCCAGTGTAGGGTTCACCTCATCACCAAAATCTGTCAATCAACATTCACTTGTCCCAACCCTTTTCAGCTTAGAGAATGGGATGAGATCTGCGTTTCATATGTTTGCTGGCAAGTGTCGACGAATTGGGAAAAGGGTTGGATTGAGTGAATGCGTACGGCATTTTGTTGGTTCAGCTGAATGATATGGGTGGTAGGAATAGACTATCTGGCTTTTTGTTGGTCCAGCTAAACTAGCGGCAGGGAAGGTTTGATGCAATGAGTAGACTGTCTGGCATTACTTGTTCTAAACGTTTGCTTCTTTCTGATAGGATTGTCTTTTTTCAGGTACCCAGATGACCCATATGACAGGATTTGGGATTCAGATCTCGTAAAAAGACAGAACTTCCTTGTAGGTGAAGCTAGAGGAACAATCAGGATCAACACAACCAAAGACATATGGGTTGGCACTAGAGAGTACCCTCCAGTCAAGGTAATGCAAACAGCAGTTGTGGGCACAGAAGGGACACTCAGCTACAGACTCAACCTTGAAGATTTCCCGGCAAATGCTAGAGCTTACGCATATTTTGCTGAGATAGAGGAGCTGGGAGACTACGAGACTCGAAAGTTCAAGCTGACACAGCCTTATTTCCCTGACTACAGCAATGCAGTGGTGAACATTGTGGAGAATGGGAATGGCAGCTACAGTCTGTATGAGCCTAGTTACATGAATGTGAGCCTTGATTTTGTTCTGTCGTTTGCGTTTGCCAAGACTCGGGATTCGACTCGAGGGCCATTGCTGAATGCGCTGGAGATCAGCAAGTATCTGCAGATTGCAGCAAAGACAGATGACCAAGATGGTGAGTTTGTCTTGGATTACTTAGTTTGGCAAACTGAACCAATTTTACAAATAATAGACTAGAAAGTATAAGACAAAGTAACTGTTTTGTCCTGGATCGTTTAGTTTAATCAGCAATTCAGCAATACTGATTATATTTTTGGTCGAGTGACTATTTGTTACGAACCCTATAGTTTACAGACCATTTTAAGTTTTAACGAGTCAAAACCAAGTTATGTGTGATCAACCTAACAAGATCTGTGTTCATCAATTGCTAGTCACTGTGTTGAATGCCTTTCGATCACTATCGCCTGGAAGCCCTTGGGCAAATGAAGGAGGTGATCCTTGCATCCCAACTCATTGGGAATGGGTGACCTGTGGCAAGACTTCCCCGCCAAGGATCACAAAAATGTAACTTCTCTCTCTCTCTCTCTCTATCTGCAAACTTTATTTCCGGTTGTACAAGAGGTAAAAAAGGCATGGATTTTTAGCTCACCATATATGAAACGATCAGTTCCTTGTCAGGCAAGAATTTGAAGGGAGAGATCCCACCTGAGATATACCACATAAGGGAATTGGAAGAGCTGTAAGTTCCTCCTTTTCTGATTACTTCAATAACCAATACACCATATTTTCTCATATTATATCACAATCTTAATCACGGTTTCTTTCCTTAGGTGGCTGGATGGGAACTCCTTCACAGGCTCAATCCCAGATATAAGCAACCTTGTCAACCTTAGAATCATGTAAGCTTTCTTTTCATTGAGTTCATATCTGCAGAGATATGCTAAATAAGAAAAACTTTATCTTGTCCCTTTGGCTTATAAAACAAGAAACATTCCAGGCATCTGGAGAGCAACAAGCTTACTGGTTCACTACCAAAGTACCTGGCAAGCTTGCCAAATTTGCATGAACTGTAAGTAGTTTGCTCTGGACTTTCCATAGTTTATCATTGATTTTACCATTCATGGTTTTATTTTTCTCATTGTGGATTGTGGTGTAGGTACATACAGAATAATTCCTTAACTGGAACCATACCTCCAACATTGCTGACTGGGAAAGTAATCATTAAGTGAGCCATCTCCATTTTTAGTCACTATGTTAATCATACTGAGTGAAATTCATTCTAACAGATCTCTTCAATTTGCTTCTTGCAGCTATGAACACAATCCAGGACTACACAAAGAGGCAAAGAAAAAGATGCACTTCAAGTTGGTGCTTGGAATCTCCATTGGCATACTTGCAGCTCTATTGCTTCTCCTGCTAGGAAGTCTGGTGTACTTGCTGCATCACCGGCGAAAAAACACCATTCAGAAAACAAATGAACCAGGTCTTTTCCGGATCTCTTTTGTTGATAACCTCAATTACTGATTCCTCTTTATAACTAACTTCATGCTCTTAACCAAAATACCAGGGAGCTCTTTCCGTGCCAGTGCCAAGCCTTCGACTGCCTATTCAGTTTCACGCGGCTGGCATCTAACAGAAGATGGCATTTCATACTACATTTCACTCTCCAAAATTGAAGAAGCTACCAAGAACTTCTCCAAGAAAATTGGGAGAGGAAGCTTTGGGACAGTGTACTATGGGCAGATGGAAGATGGCAAAGAAGTAGCAGTTAAAATCATGGCAGATTCCTGCACCAACCTCAACCAACAATTTGTGACCGAGGTAATATACCACTGTCAAAGTTTCAAAATAAAAGGTTCGTGAAGAAATTATTTAATGTCATGTGTTCAAACATATATGCAGGTTGCCCTTCTGTCAAGAATTCATCACAGGAACTTGGTCCCATTGATAGGATACTGTGAAGAACAGAACCAAAGGATCCTAATCTACGAATACATGCACAATGGAACACTAAGGGATCACATCCATGGTCTGCTAATAAAAAACCATGCCGATTTATTTCCATTACCAAGCTTATGTGGTTACCAATTGCTTTGCAGACTCAAAATTCAATGACGTTTGCCATGTAGGTTCGGTTAACCAGAAGCGATTAGACTGGCTGGCACGGCTGAGGATTGCTGAAGACGCAGCTAAAGGTTCTCTAGTACCAAAAAAAAACCTTAATTGACCCACTTAGTCCATTGTGTAATACATTCTTTCTTTCTCAAATTCAAAGGAACAAGTCATAGAAAGATGGATACTTTTTTATTTGGTTTGCAGGTCTTGACTACTTGCACACTGGTTGCAATCCTAGTATTATACACAGAGATGTGAAGACCACCAACATTCTACTAGACATCAACATGAGAGCCAAAGTCTCGGACTTTGGTCTTTCCAGACAAGCTGAAGAGGATCTAACACATGTCTCGAGTGTGGCACGTGGCACGGTTGGTTACCTCGACCCCGAGTAAGTCATCGTATGCCCTTCTGAAAATTGGAAATGTTTTGACTTTCCACTTCCCAAAAATGTGTACACTGTTTTACTTTCCATTTCAGGTACTATGCAAACCAGCAGTTGACAGAGAAGAGTGATGTCTACAGTTTTGGGGTTGTCCTCTTGGAACTCATCTCAGGGAAAAAACCAGTCTCTGCAGAAGACTTTGGTTCAGAACTCAACATTGTTCACTGGGTATATATATGGAACCACATTCTTCTATTCCTGTTAACTCTATGCAACAAAGCTGTTGACTTTCTTTTTTGTTCTGTTTTCTTTTAACAAATAGGCAAGGGCTCTGATAAGAAAAGGGGATGTAATGAGCATAATGGACCCGTTCCTGATAGGGAATGCGAAGATTGAATCAGTCTGGAGGGTAGCAGAAGTTGCGATCCAGTGTGTCGAGTTGAGATCAGTTTCCAGGCCAAAGATGCAGGAAATAATCATGGCGATACAAGAAGCTGGCAAGATAGAGAAAGGGGTTGACGAAAGCCAAAAGCTGATGCAATCTGTGGATGGTTCCAAGGGACAATCTTCCAGAAAGACATTGTTGACAAGCTTTCTTGAGATTGATCAAAGCCCTGACTTTTCCAATGGATCATCAGGGCTAGTCCCTTCTGCTAGATGATGATGACCTATTTCCTGTTTCTTGATTCCTTTCACTTTCTCCTAACTTCTTCTCCCTCCCTCTAACAGATGAACTTGTACATCGTTGTTTTGAGATAGGAGGATAAGGAGGCAATCGAATGTATTAGGGAAGTGTCATCTCAGTTGTTTTTGGGTATTCTTGTGCCTTGTGGTGCACAATGGAAGTTCATATTATATTGACATACTTAACTATTTTCTGTGAGTGGACACCCCACGGATTGGTTCTTTGTACTTTATAGGTTTGGCATGATTATGAGCAGGAATGAGAATCGGTAAGTGAGTAGGTATGTCAATATTTATATGGTTTGGATGACAAAACCAAGATAAAGTGACATCAATGGACAATGTGACAGAAAGAAATATATAACAATTTCGTTCTTGCACGAAAAAATGGAGAGGAAATCATTTTGAAATTCAAATAATTCATAACACTTAAACAATAGTTGTTACTTGTGTGGGATAGTAACAAAATTATGACATTTAGTGATAAGATTATGACAAAGCTTGTTTCATATGACATATACGCCAGACTTACTTTAGCCTCTGTTATTTATTTAATCAATGATGCATATTCATTCTTATTTCTTTCAATGGTTATGATTTGTTCAAGTCGCCTAACTTGATATCATATCCAGGTTGTTGTACAAGATCGCATTATATTATCGATAACTTAGCACTAGTCCGAGTTAGAAACGATTAGAGTGGTGACTGGTAAGGTAGGAAAAGGTTCGATGTCCCTAATCAAGTCATGTCAGATTGAAGCAACCGAGTCTTTTTTCGGCTCACAATGAGGGATAGAATTCAATATCGGTCATCTTATCTTTGCATTTCAAGTTTATTTTAAGTGTGAGTTTTGTGGCTAATATAATTTTCTTTTCTTTTCGATGTGGTATTCGTGTGTACTTATCTGACTTTAATCAAAAGAAGTAGCTAGAAATCAAATCTTTGATAGAGTGACAATTATTAACCCATAGGTTAAAAAGGTGAAATTAGTGTGAATTACAAAGTAAAAAATGGACCATATTCTAGACCGTTAAGGTCAGTACTTTCAAGGTATCCTAGAGAGTTAGATGACCTCAAGAAAGGTGAATTGGAGAGCTTATTGAAATTCATCATCCTTATATGTAGAAGTTGGACTAATCCCGCAAGTTGGCTGAAAATGAGAGGTCGCTTTGAACCATTTCTCTAGTTGACAACAAGACCAAACTTGAGGGAGGGGCTAGCTGAAACCTCTCAAGCAAGAAAAGTTTGGTCTAAATGTCAATTTGATCCCTAGACTTTCTCGTTTTGGTACTTTTTTGTGATTTGGGCATATATGCAAATTCTCTATAGATGGATTATTCCAGCTAGTTATTGGTTGACATGACAATAATCATTGGTAGCCGTTCAATCTTTCGGTATAAAACATGATACGATAGAAATGAATGATAGTTCATTCAACATCAATCGTAATTAGAACGATTCATACATAAATAGTCTAGAATAATTAAAAACAAACTAATTTGTTTCAATAGTATTCGAGTTCCATCTTCAAATTGTGAGAAAAATAGTTTGAAATATTACTAAGAAAGCAAATCTAGTTAATTGCTCTTCATTCCTCATGGCCTACTACTTCAGCAAGATTTCTTGGCAATTGTCGGCTGAACATAAGCTCGAGTTGTTTGTTTTTATGAATTCGATCGGTATTGATAGAATCAGAATAGCCTAAAAAACATGCGCCAGAATGTTTTCAAATTGTTCTCATTGAAAATTAGTATAATGCATAATCTAAATATTTTATAAAAACAACATTTGGTGGTTGGTGAGACCTATTCAAACAGCTCCCATAAATTAATTAAGAAGGCTTTTCCCAGCTTTGTTAGTTAGACAATGATGAAGGCTTTAGCCTTTAGGTTTTCCTATGCCAAGTTGTTAGATAAAAAAACATGCCTTGTGGTCCAAGGCAATTCAGCAGCCTTCCTTATTTCCCTTCCTCTTATTCTCTACCATATATTTGACATTGGAGCAAGGACAGGCTACATTTTAATAGATGAAGGATATTAATTAGGTTAAGATTTAGGTGGATTTCCTACTTCTTTATTCCCCATGTTCCCTATTTATTATGTTAATTATTGTTTATGTGATCCAAAAATACAAATATTTTTATATGCAACACTTGTAACTTGTAGGATAAGTAGATTAGAAAATGACTTTGTTTATATCAAGAGCGCATGATGAAGCTACTTAAACTATATGACCCTATCCTATCATTAATGCTCCAACAGAAAATTATTTGACTCCCTTATTTAAGGGGAATCATTTTAATTATTGTCATTGATTACGTTATTTTTCTTCTTCTCACTTATAGATGGATGCAATCATTAGTTATTACCACTATCATTATTTTTTGAATATTTTGAAATTTTTTATGAGAAATTTTAATAGATAAATTTGACTCAATTGTCTCGTTTTGAGACAGTTGGGCCACAGATTTATATGTTTGGCACCACAAAATTTGGATGAAGCAATTTGGTATGGCAAAATTTAAATTGGCTCGTTTGATAAAATTACAATTATCTAGGATGAGACATGTAATTCAAATTGACTAGTTTAAATGACTTATTTTATAAAATGCGACAACTGACCGAATTGTCCCGCTTCACAATTGATTCATCCAAAAGACTCGATCGTTTGAATGGAACAATTACGTGTACCCAAAACAGTTCGAATAGTCTCAAAATTGAAGGTGAAAAGTGAAAACCATTAAAATATTTAAGATACAAAGTTTGCATTTTCAAACAAGTCAATTTGACCGAACAGAAGTACTCATCCAGACAAACCCTAACCATCACCCAAATTACAAGGCACCTTTGAATGATTGCCCCCACCATCTCCAAAGATTCAGCAACCCAACTTCATTTATCATGCCCAAGATCGTTAAATATTTTCTATAATCAATTCGAGCCATGATCAATTGTAAAAAGTAGCCAACCTCTGTAATGATTCATCATGGACATCTTAATTCTTAAGAATATATATTAGCTTAAAGTTGTGAAATTCACCATCTAGTTAAAATAGCCCATAATTTTAGGTGGAAATTTTGAAATTAAAATCCAATGAGTTGATGTAACCATAGTGCGGAAAATGACATCATCCGTTCGTACTCCTATTGGTTGTGCACCTTGACAGCGAACTACTATTGCATATTAAAGTATGCACATGACGCATGATCCCACTTGACACACGTACCGAAAAATTGGCCGTATTATGCATGGCCGCAGCTATAATATGAATTGGGTCATCCTGTAACGGACTTAGCATAAGTATGAATTTCACCTTGATCGTCGGGTTTACAATTAGCAATTATAGCCAATTTCGTACGACCTAATTATATCGATTGAACTATATATCAGCTTGATTGATCTTTTGTATGGTATAACAATTATTGATCATAACCTCATTATTAAGAGTAAAAAAAATCAGCTAAGCAAGTTGTTAACAAGGACAGGAAGACCAGAATCTTGTTGGGGTAGCTTGCCTAATGCAAGTGCCCTCTACAAAGCTATCTCTCTCCTTAATTCCTCTTTGTACTGTAATTAATTTGTAAATGTTAATGAATAATGATGGATCGGGTGGGCCAACGCTCCTCTCCTGCCCCAACTAATCCATTTTTTTAACAATTAGCTCTCACGTAACTAAAATATTCTCGACAATTAAAGAAAATCTTAAACAATTTTTTATTATTATTATCGATTAATCATAAACAAATCTAATTTAGAACAATTAAACTATTCATTTTCCATTATTGGAGAAGTAAACACGGTTTTGTGCACTAAAACAAGGAAGCTAAACAAATTCACTTGCATTTTTTTTTTAATTATAGCCGAACGGAAAACGCCCAAGACATCGTGACAGGACCAAAGCCAAAAGAGATTGTGTTGTGATTTGTGAATCGATCAACTCAGAGCCATTCATTTTTTTAAAATAAATAATATGAGTAAAAGATATTATGATTAGATTCGGGATTGTGATTACTTTGGCATTTAGAAACGTAATTATTATCAATATATAATAATATGGATTAGAATCAATTCGTGTCGCACGAGAGGGATAAAATAAAATTAAACCATGGACGAAACAAAGAACAATGGAGGAGGGAAGCATGTATAGTTGGGAAAGAAGCCCAGATTATGAAGAAACCAACGATTACGAACCATTGGTTCCTTACTAGTTACTTCCCAATTTATATTTCAGAAGAGTTATAGCGCCATTTCGTTATGAGTTATTTCGATCTAAAATTCTAAATATAGAATCATAAAATGCATGTGATTGTAGAGAGATTTTTTTTGTTGCATGTGCGATATATTTTTTTTTTTGGTAAAACATGTGTGATATTAAATAAACTCATTAATCATATAAATAATAAAATAAATGTAAATGAACAATATTTCAATGAAAATCTATACGATAAAGCTTGTTTTGTTTATTCTTTTATGTTGACATGCATTACCTCCCTCGCAATTTCTTATCCATAGTTAAAAGTAAATGTGAAATTCGTTGCAAATCTTGAAAATAGAACAATTAGCAATGCATTCGGTCTCCCGTACTCGCATAGTCGGAGGGAGATGGTTTGGGATGTGTCCCAGGACACAGGTAAATTTTGATAAAAAAATTAATACATTCCTATATATATTTATGCAAGAGATAAAATATTCAAATTCATCATATTGATATAGTATAAAAAGTATTTTACCATTACAAGGAAGCTAAAGTTTTGTTATTTGATTGATATAAAATTAATTTACACGCTATAAATGAAATCTTTCATTGAAATAAATCTCTATTTGAGTTTTTTTTTCTCAATTATCCTATTCAATTTTGTCCAAGAATTATGAAATCTAAGCAGAAGCCTCTGCTACTGGGCTCTCTCTTTTCTAGTCCGCTAGTTTCCATTCAATTTTAATTTTAATTATTAAATAATTATTAAATATATGTTTATATTTTAAAAAAAAGGACACACCTAGTTTTACAACTTGGCTCCGCCACTGCGTACTCGACCGCTACGGTTCTAAAAATTCCTTGAACTTTGGGATTTTTGCCTCCAATATTTATGGATCCGACGTTGGACAAATTTTTGTGTTATTAGGGGAGTCGGTCATGGGCAACATGCAATGTCTTGTAAAGCTTAAAATCTTCCTTAAGAGGATGAATTTTCCTTTTCGAAAGTGTCTTGTCAAAAATGTCTTTCTATTTCTTGCCCATTTTGTTAGCTTCGCTGGTTATCATTAGCGAGATTGAGAAAATTCAAGATAAGTTCTTATAGGATAGAAGATGAAATGTTAAAAATGCACATCTTGTTGTTTGGAAAATTGTTAACTCCTACTATGCACACTAGGTTGGGGGTGTTAGGTCTTTGTTGCACGAATTCAACTACTTATTAAATGAGTTTTAAGGTGTAGACGAACGAGACAATATTTGGTGGTGCAAACTAAGTGGGGAATCTATAATTTCTTATTAGACAAAGTACCGTGAAGGATGGACTCTGACGCTCTCTCTCTCTCGTCCCAACGCCGCTGGCGGTAGCTCCTCCGGCGACCAAACCTCCAGATCCTCCGCCTCAACAACAACAGAGTACACCTCATCCAGATGCAGGGGCGACGGACACTCCGATCTCTTACAAAAATGTCCTGATAGGCCAAAGTCAGGAGAAAGCTGCCAAAGGAAGCCATTGGACCTTCGTGGGAGAACATGACATGGTGCCCGACACTCTCAATGGTAATCCCGCACTTAACTTCTTGGAAAAATTCAAAGAAAGATTATGTGATCCGTGGAAAAAGAATCTTGTGGTTCGCCTTCTAGGCCGATCAGTTTCCTACTCTTACCTGTGTTCCCAGCTCAGATGGAAGTGGAGACCCACAGGAACTCTGGATATTATGGATCTAAATAATGAGACCTTCCTGGTGACTTTCAGTAATGATCAAGACTACCTACTAGCGCTCACAGGAGGTCCTTGGGTGATATTGGATCACTACCAACTGGTTCATCAATGGACACCTAGCTTTCGGTCGACTGACAAACCCCATCGATCGGTTGTCGCCTGGGTTCAATTTCCCGAATTGCTAGTCCATTTCTATCATTGAGAAGTTCTTTTCGCAATTGGGAATTTGATCGGGCGCACAGTCAAGTTGGATTACCATACGGAAATGCTGCAAAGGGGGAAGTTTGCAAGGATTGCAATCGATCTGGACATGACAAAACCACTTCCGACGATGGTTTATCTCGATGGAATACAACAGCATGTTGTCTATGAAAATCTCCCTCAAATTTGCTGCGAGTGTGCCAGAATCGGGCATCTCGAAGATGACTGTCCTGACCGAAATCCTCCTCAGGTTTTAGCTTTGGTGGTGGTTACTAAGGACGCCTCGATGAATCCTCCGGTGAGCCAGTCGCCAGAGCTCCCAACCGACTATGGTCCGTGGATGCAAGTAACGCAGAAGTCACGGAAACAGACGAAAAACAAATTAGGTAATTCATCAAACTTACCTCTGTCAATCGACGTGGATTCAGGGAAAAATGCAGCTAAACAAGTGGAAAAGGGAAGATGGATAATTATAAAGGCGCAATTGTAGCGAAGAAGAAAGGAAAGAAAGATACCAAGGAAGAGCAGAAGAAAGGGTCGCAAGGATCACAAAAGGGGAAAGCAGGGGATATGGAAACATAAGATGTTAACGGGAAGAAGAAGATTAACGGCTCTCAAGAGTGGCGGGCAAAAGAACCCAAAATTCACTTGTGGGCCAAACCTCTTCTTCGTCAAGACCGGCCCCCTCGCAGGAAGTGATTCAGGGCCCGAATAAAATGACGATCCATCTCTTATCGATTCCCAAGTTGACGACTGGTCAGAAATAAAATGTTGACCCAAATTCAAACCTAATTTCAGCCCGCCAAAGGTCGCAGAGAAAGAAGGAGGAAGATTCCCGGACACAATCTCAAAACAGAGGCTTCAACCTCAGAGCAAGCAAAAAGCCTCTTCAAATCATCTCACCCAACAAAAAGACTTCGGCTAAGAAATCCTTGGAAGGTAGCTATCCGATAACCCTCAAAGCCATTGAGAAGTTTTATGTGCACACTCAATTGAAGGCTCTGGAATTCCGAAAAAGCCTCCTCGAGAAGCCGTCGGATGTGGTCATGGAAGAGAATCAAGCGGCGGCCGCTTCAAATCCCCAGCTTGAAGACAATGATACTCAAGGAGGACCTCCTGCCGCTCCGGTTGCCACTACCTGAGCTTTTGAGCTTTTTCCTGGACCCTGGTTTTTTCCTTTAAGTTTTCTTCTAATTTTTTCTATGTCAGTTCAACCTAACTTAAAATTCTAGCGTGGAACGTGTTTGGCGCAAGAAGTAAAGATTTCAGGAGGGAAATTAAGCTTCTTGTCCAATCATACAGTCCTGTTTTTCTTCTTCTATTTGAACCCCAGATCAGTGGAGACCGTGCAAACAGAGTATGCGAGACTTTGGGTTTTGATGAAGTAGTGAGAGTTGATGCAGAGGGCAGGCAAGGCGGTATTTGGCTGTTTTGGAAGACTGAGGACTTTAATGTGCAGATTGTTGATGCCAGCAGGCACATCACTGTCAAAGTCTCCCATAGCAATCTTACAGAGTGGTTGCTCACTGGTGTTTATGGAAGCCCTCATTACAAATTTCACCAACAGCTGTGGGTATACCTCATTCAAACTAGTAGAAATACTCGAATTCCCTGGCTCATCACTGGTGATTTCAACGCTTACCGATTTCCCTCTGAAAAAGCTGGAGCAATCTCCTCAACTGCGCTTAGACGCTGTTAAAAGTTTGCTGATTGGATTGATCTAGCCAATCTTATTGAACTTGGCTTTTCAGGGGCCAAGTTTACTTGGTTTCGGGGGAATTCAGAAGTCCACTTCAAAGCCAGTAGAATTGACAGATCATTCTGCACCTTCCCAAGCTTCATTCTTACCATCTCCCTATTTTAACCAGCTATGCAGGAAACATGTCTACACCTAGCGGAGGGAGACCCTTTCGTTTCAAGGTAGCTTGGTTGCTTCACAATGATTTCCATGACTTTTTTGCAACTGCCTGGAAAAAAGACCTCAATCTCCACCAAGCTCTTCATGAGGTTGCTAGCAAGCTGCAAATCTGGAACAAGGAGACTTTTGGTATCATCAATCAAAGGAAGAAGAGGCTACTGGCTCGTTTAAAGGGAATCCAGACCAGTATTGCGAATAACTTCAATCCAGGTCTCATCAAACTGCAAGCTAAAGTCGAAGCAGAGTTAGATATTTTGCTGGCCCAGGAGGAGGTTATCTGGTATCAAAGAGCTAAAGAAAAGTGGGCTACGCTTGGAGAACAAAACTCGGCCTACTTCCACCAACAAGCCACTAGAAAAAAAAGGAATAAGATTTTGGTTCTTAAAGACGACGCTGGAAATTGGGTAGAAGATCCGGTTGATTTGGAGTAGCTGGTGGTAGGCTTTTATGCCAGATTGTTCAAGCAGGATTCCACTCCCTATGTAGATCGTATGCCGAAGAATTGCTTCCCAAGAATTGATCAGGAAGATCTCTTAACCCTTTTTCGCCCTTTCTCCATTTCTGACATTCATAAAGCGATTTTTGGGATGAAACCTTTCTCTGTTCCTGGACCTGATGGGTTCCAGGCGGTTTTTTACCAGAAATTGTGGCCTTTAGTAGGGCAAAACACTGTTGATATTGCCACTTCTTTCTTTGAAACAGGTCACCTTCCGGCAGATGTGCTCGATTCCAATCTTGTGCTCATTCCAAAGGTTAACCAGCTGGAATCCCCTGCTCAGCTAAGACCAATCTGTCTCAACAATGTCAGTTTGAAGGCCATCACGAAGGCTATGGCTAACAGACTGAAGCCGTTAATGAGGAATCTGGTGGCTCCTACTCAAAGTGGTTTCATTCCAAAAAGACAGACCACTGATAACATCATAATACTTCAAGAAGTTTTGCATTCTCTGCGCCGCAGGAAGGGGAAGAAGGGAGGAGTAGTGATCAAGATCGATCTTGAAAAAGCCTATGATAGGCTTAGGTGGGAGTTTATCAGAGATACCTTAATCGAAATTGGGCTTCCCGGCACTTGGATCAGCAGAATCATGAAGTGTGTGGAAGAGAATAGGATGAGGATCAATTGGAATGGCAAACTTACGGAGTGGATTCTGCCCTCGCGGGGAGTTAGGCAGGTAGATCCTCTATCTCCCTATCTCTTTGTTCTTTGTATGGAACGCCTTTCTCGCCGCATTGAGCTTGCTGTGGAAAACAATGAATGGAAGCCCTTATCTCTTACCTCTCATGGTTTTAAGCTTTCTCACCTCTTCTTTGCAGACGATTTGATTTTGTTTGCAGAGACAGGGACCAAACAGGTTGAGGTAATTAAGCGTCGCTTGGACGAGTTCTATGAAAGCTCCGGGAAAAAGGTTAACTTGAGCAAGTCCATGATGTTTGTTTCTCCAAATATCAGTCGTTAGAAGGCCCAACAGCTCAGCGACCGAGCCAATATCCCTCTCACTAATGACTTGGGGAGATATCTGGGTCTCAATGCTATTCATGGAAGAGTTACTAAGGCTAGATACAATGATCTAATCCTTCGTATCCAAAAAAAACTAGCATCCTGGAAAACAAACCACCTCTCGCTTGCATCTCGCTTGACTTTGGTGAGATCAATCTCTTCTTCGATGGCAGTCTATCCAATGTTTTCCGAAGCTTTCCCTGCCTCTGTTTGCAATTTATTGGACAGGGTAAACAAGAAGTTCATCTGGGGAGAAGAAGAAGGGGAAGGAAAATTCCATCCAGTTGGGTGGGAGCATTTAACCCTGCCAAGGGCTCAAGGAGGAGCCGGTATTCGGCCAACTAGACAAGCTAACCAAGCCATGCTTGCAAAAGGAAGCTGGAAGATAGCTATGAGGGAAGAAAATCTATGAACAAAACTTTTACTCGACAAATATGGCCGCAACAGAGAAGACATCAACATCCTGCAAAAAAAAACAGGGAAGTTCTCTCGCCTGGAGAAGATTTGTCTCTGCTGCTAATGTGTTGAAGAAGGGTTTTTCCATGAATGTTAAGAATGGTAATCGAACTAACTTCTGGTGTGATTCCTGGGTTTCGCAGATTCCTTTGAAGGAGCTGGCTACTTGTGAGGTTCCAGCGGAACACTTTAAATCTAAATGTGGCTGATTTATGGGATCCGGAGTATGGCTGGAAGATTGCAGAGTTTCAACACTTTCTCCCGGAGTAGATGGTTAATAAAATTCGGGCCATCATGATTGACCCTCTGGACATGGAAGGAGACCAAGCCTTCTGGAGCATTACTGCGAATGGTCATTTCTCTGCCAACTCTGTGTATAAGGCAATCCAGGAGCAGGTGGAGCAGCAATCCAATTCTATTTGGAAGACCATTTGGAAACTTCAAGTACCTGAACGAGTCAGAGCCTTCATATGGATGGCGGCGCAAGGGAAACTCACCACGAACAGCATCAGAAAGCATATACACTTAACTGATAATGACTTGTGTCCTGAGTGCAGGAATACAACAGAAACCAACCTTCACTGTTTAAGGGATTGTGGCAGGGCCAAAGCAGTGTGGAACAGGATCTTGGATCAACAAGGAAGAGGGAGTTTCTTCAGTAGCGAGCTCGATGCTTGGATGAAGGCCAATATTCTAAATGTTTCAATTGGTAATTGGCCTGGTCAATGGAATAATTTTTTCTGCCTAATCCTTTGGTATCTTTGGAAGTGCAGGAACGAGAGGATTTTTAAAGGGGTGAAGCTGGCCATTCCGACTTTGCATCACTATGTGGTAGCTAAGGCGTCAGAGTGGGTTAAAGCTTCGATTCCATCACCGAGAACTTCATCTATGAACATAAAATCAGACTAGAGTGGAAGAGTTAGTTGGCTGGATCAAACCGCCTCACGGCTGGCATAAAATGAATACAGATGGCGCAGCACAGAGCAATCCTGGTATGGATACAGCAGGAGGCGTGCTTCGAGATCATGATGGATATGGATTGGAGGATTCTGCAGCAAGCTTGGCTCTGGCACAGCTCTCTTGGCTGAACTCTGAGGAATTTTACAGGGTCTAGAGTTGGCTTGGAAAAAGGGGTCTCGCTTCCTTATTCTTGAGACTGACTCAAAATTAGCCGTGCAGCTCATTGAGATGAGGAAAGCCAGGGTACATCCTTATGCAACAATGCGTGGCACTATCAGAATAATGCTGGCAAGAGAATGGGTGGTTCGATTAGTGCATACGTATCGCGAAGGGAATAGAGTCGCGGACTGGCTCTCGAAGCACAGTCTCGTCTATCGCTTTGGTACGTATGAGCTAATTGATCCCCCTTTGGAGCTCGATAGAATCTGCAGAGATGACATGTTGGGAATCAGCTTTCCTAGACAAGTAATTAGAGCTGAGGTTATCTGATCCATGTGGATTTGATCTTGCCACTACGACCCCCTATTTTGGCTTTGTTTCGGTCTTTACTGAGTTCTTGTGCTCTACTCCTAGCCGTTAGGAGTTTGTAATTCGTTGGCGTTTGCCTCCCTTAAATAAATAAAAAACTAAGTGGGGAATGAATATTTCATGACAGAGATTGGATAAATTAAAATAATCGTGAGAGAATTGTGGATGTTTGTTTTGAAGGTGAATCATTAAAAATAATCATTTATGAAGGGTGAGTTATTTCCGAGATAAATCTTTGAGGACCACTTGGTGAGTGGATGCTTAATCATTGTGATAGCTTGGTGAGAACTTCTACTCTTGATGATTTTTTTTTTTCTTACCATAATTAGGGAAAGGGGTGGGAGCTACTTTTCACCTCTTCTTCATTATTGGAGTGTTGGTCCTCCATTTATATGAATAATTTTTTAAAATAAAATTTACATTTATATATAAAAACATTTAGATATACATGTATAATAGAAATGAGGGGAGAAAATAAAGTAAGTATATATGAGAACGGAATCCCAACAAATTAACAAGCGGAAGGCAAGAACGCCAGCAAAGACCAAACCTTGGAGCTTCCTTCCAACTATGCCACGCTTCATTGAACAAAACGTTTTACTTCTTCTACCTCCTCCTCTGTTCCACATAATAAATTATTAATTAAAATCCCCACTTTCTCCATTTTCGATTCTCTCTATAGTCTATAACCAAACCCAAAAAACCGATCGAAAGGAACCAAAGGATCCTTGTCATAGCCGCCCCCTTTTCTCCTTAAGGGGATGTGACAGAGAGGGTGACTGAGAGTTTTAGAGAGAGAACCACTTTCCCCATTATTGTATTGTTTTCCATCTCAATTAAACTCTATCCGGTTGTTCTTTCTGGTGGATTAGGTTCCATTAAAGAGCTACCAAACTCTGTTTTCCCCTCCCCCTCTCTTGCTATCCTTCTTCCTCCTCCTCCTCAAAAGCTTCTCAAAAACCTCGGGAAGCAAGAAAGAAAATCCAAAACTCAAAGGGTTCATAGATAGTTTGATGATGGAGATGATGTATTTGCAGTTGGGAAGGTCTTCTTACCAGGATTCCCTCAAAGTCCTAGAGGCTGATATCCAGCATGCTAATTCCTTGTGAGTTCTTCATCTGTTTCTTTGTTGAGTTAATTTCTTATTTTAGTTTGTGGGTTCTTTCAGTTCTTCCACTTCCCTTTCTGGGTTTTGTTCATTTCTTCCTTCTCTGAAATGGGTATGTCCGTATGTGGAAGTTTCAGTGGGTTGTGTGTTCCCGTGATCAAAGTTGGATTCTTTATTTTTTTTGTGCTAAATTTGAGGCCGCTGATGGCGGAAAACGACGGTTACTTTCGACAGTTCATCGCACGATTGTCCTCCTAACCAAGCGTGTTCAAAAGCTGGGATTTTGTTGGATTTTTTTTTTCCTATTTGTTTGTGGGTTTAGTTTACTCATTTTTTGAAGTCTCCTCCCTAGTCAGTTGCAGCTAAAGTTGGCTGCTTTGGACAAATTTAGGATCCTTAATTTTGATCACCCATTGCAAAATTTTCAGCCGAGATTAATGGGTCTCCATCCTATCTTGGCGTGGATCATCAAAATCTCATATTTTAATCACTGGATTGTTTGCAGCAGTAGTTGTCTCTGGTTGACCTAATTCTTATGTGTGTACCTTGTTTCTCGCAGGGCTGCTGAAATCCCTAGGGGGAAAGGTGGTTCCCATCTTCAGATGAAACTTGTCTACAACCAGTGGGCTCCGCTTTTCTTGTACTTGCTTCAGACATTAGAAAGCTCTTGCATTTATCTACTCCCTAGATACCTTAATCTCTTCCATGTCCTTGTATATAAGGTAAATGATCCCTTCATGTTGTTTCATTGGAATACCTTTCGATCGCTCGGAATCCGTTGTTGCAGCAACCCGAGAGAGCATTCCACCTTTGCTCACTGTGAAAATTGTGATTGATTAGGTGAATGATGACGGTAGACCGCGAATAACGACTCATGGAAGGAAAGCAACCATAAAGGAGTTCTATGGTAATGCGCACCTTTCTTCTGTGTTGAAGTGTATGAAGGGAGCCTGTGTTTGTTTGGAGTTTTTGACATTGTTTCAATTTTCAGGTGTTATCTTGCCTTCCCTTCAGAGGCTGCACAGCAGCTTGGATGAAATGGAACTGGAAGGCTTTTCGACCATTGATAGTTTGAGAATAAAAAATGTGGATGGAGATCATCACGATAAGCTTATCAGCATCGATTTGGAAAGGGAAGATGAATGTGGCATCTGCTTGGAGCCTTGCACCAAGATGGTGTTGCCTAATTGTTGCCACGCAATGTGCATCAAATGCTACCAGAATTGGTAAAAATCGCAAAGTCTGTTTGAGTCATCTCTACTGTTGCATTCAGCTTCTCCTGTTTGACACGATTTGTGCAATTTTACATTAACAGGAACACAAGGTCAGAGTCATGTCCATTCTGCCGAGGCAGCTTGAAGAGAGTGAACTCGGAAGACCTATGGGTGCTCACTTGCAAGAACGACGTGGTCGATACAAAACAGATTACAAGGGAAGACCTCTTGAGGTTCCACCTCTACATCAACAGCCTGCCGAAGGATTATCCAGACGCTCTCTTCTTAGTGTACTACGAGTATCTATTCTGAATTCCAGAATCGGAACCCAGCGAGAGTGATCCAGTGGTGTACAGAGAGGGATAGCCAATGCCGACCAAGATCAAGTGTAAATAGTCTGGTAAGTGCAGCTAGCCATGTCTCTCTCCCAACATTCTCCGGGAGCAGGCCATCGTCATTTGGAGAAACAACTCTATATCTTCCTTTCATGAGTTTCGTATCAAGACCCCTCATTTGGGGAAGGCGGACTGTGCTTCGAAGACTGGAGCATGATTTGCTGGTTCCTGCTAGAAACAAGAACGAAATGCGCTACAAAGAAAACCATAAATCTTTTATGTTATGTAAGCTGTTGAGAATTGAGAACTGCTTTGTGGCTTTTGTTTCTCACTTGTAATCGCGAAAATTTACTTCCTGATTCCCTTATCATTAGCCTGCATTTGGCATCTTACAATAAGAAAAAAGTACGAGTTTTTCGAGTTGGGATTCTCATCTGACTAGTGTTTTTCCGGTGGTGGCTGCGGATATGTAATGGTCCATAATCTCCATATGCTTGGTACATAAGCGGAGCTGTGATGCTGATGAACTTCTGCAGTTTGGTATTGATAAAGATAATTAAGGTTTGTGTATTGGGTAGGAATTACTCCATTCCTGTATCAACTTATGAGAGAAATTACTCCAGAACTTCTGCAGTTTGGAACTCTGTCTCTTTATTGATGTTGTGTTTTGGTGTCAAAAGTATCGATCTATCATTTGGTATATCCTATAGGGTGAGCAAGGGAATCAATCCCAATGTTAATAGTGTTCTGTGCACCTTAAGTTTGTCATTTTGTTTCCTTCAATCGGTTTACGATAGATGGTTGCCCTCAAGAAGAAGACTCGTGATCAGACGAACTCAACAACAGCTGAGCTCGAGAAGGCCGTCCAGGAGGCTGCCATGGAAGGGGAAGAACTGTCAAGAATGACGAAGAACACAAGCGACTTGGGGAGAGCCTCTGAATGAGCTTTTTCAGTTTGTGACTTGGAAGTAGTAGATACAAGTTCCTGCTCACTTCCAACAGGGCTACCAACACGGGATAATCGAATACACACTACATAAACCACAAGGATTTCAGTCATTGTTTCTACTTGCTGAGGTCTTGCTTTTTTCATGTAAGAAGAAAATGAGGCTGTCATTAGTTTGTTCCTCCTCAAAAGCATATCATCAATTGGCTGATCCTTTGGTCCACACTCTTCTGAGCATCCACTACACATTTCCGCCATTACTGTAAGCAATGTTAGAACTGGTTCTTTTTAAGGGTGAGCGTCGAGCAGGGCACTGAATTGGGTTGACGATTTTCTATCGAGGCATAACAAAAGCCCAAGCCCACTATTCTGGCCTGTCTTTAAGATAATCGAACTTCCCAGGCCCATCTATTCTCTACCCATATTCCAAAACATGCAATAACAAATCCGAGTACCACGCGGATATGAAAAGTGAGCACTACATACGACGTCGGTCTTCAACCAACCTTTGAAGAAATCGAAGTTCCCTTATGGATTCCTTTTGTTGAGTTCGATAACTTTCTATTTCAATTTTCTCGTCATAGTAGGATTGCCTCCGATATTGTGTTGTATCTTTGATTTTTGTGTCTGAATTGATTTCAAGATGCAATCTATCTTCTTCTTGTAAGAGAAAAAAATTATCTTTGTTAAAAAAAGTCTACATAATAACCCAAAAGTTAATGATGATATGCGCTCCCGCTGATGAATATCTATAAACACGAAGTGTTGTATAGTACAAATTTGATTGGCATTCCATAATCGGTCAAAATGTATTCCTTATCCTAATTGGATTTGCATAGTCCAAATTAGATTGGGATTCCATAATCGCTCAAAAATGCATTTTTTCCTTTTCCTAATTGGATTTCTAATCATTCCCTTCCTCCTTTATTATGATCATAAACCAATCCCATTCACCACTACTCATGCTCGCACAATTTCTAACCAAATTCCTCTGTTTCCCCCCTCTGTGTCTCTGTTTTCCTCCAATGGAGATCCTCAACGCTCGATTCAGCTCCCGCCTCGATCTCGAAAACCCATCCCCCCTCCACCTCCGCGCGCCGGCGTTGCTCTCCACGCACATCCACGTCGTCACCTATTACACCGTAACCCACCGAGACATCCTCCGATCACCCGCCGACGGTGCCCTCAGGCTCCTCCGCGAGTACTCCTCTCCCGAACCAACGCGGCGGCCGCCATCATTAGACTGTTTCGGCCCGCTGGAGACAATCTACACCTCCACGCGCCAGTTCATCGACAGCGTCGCCCGGCTCCTGACCCGAATCGGCGTGCACGGCCCGGAAGAGCACGAATTACTGGGCTGGAACCTGGCCCAGCAGGTCGACGACCTCGCCCGGCGCGTGCCCTGCACGAGCGAGGAGCTGCGGCTGGTGTGGACGGTGGAGAAGGTGGAAGATCACTGCTTTGAGGGCGGGGAGGTGATGGATTTGGTGGCGGAACAGCTGTGGGCGGCCCTGCGGCGGGGGATTGATAATAATTATGACGATGGTAATTGCGGGATGAGAGCAACGGCGCTGGAGGCCCTGGCGGAATTGGCGGTGGTGGAGGTGGGAGGAGAGGAGAATTGTGTGATTTGTTTGGAGGAATTGGCGGTGGTCGGAGTTGGGTCCAAGGCGGCGGCGATGCCCTGCAGGCATGTGTTTCATGAAGGGTGTATTGTGGCTTGGTTGAAGACGAGTCATTACTGTCCGATTTGTCGGTTCGAGATGCCGACGACGGCGGCGGTGGAGCCCTCTGAATTGGCTGAAGACGAGGTATCACTTTCCGGTGTATCAATTTCAGATGGCCACGGCGGCGGAAGGGCAGAGTGTTGAAGTAGAGTTGTGGAGGTTCTCGTTAGTTTTAGGGCGGGAGAAAAAAAGGGGGAGTTCAAGTTAGGGTGCCATTAGGGATGGGATTAATTGACAACCATTAATTAGTGTTAGTGGATTAAATGGTGGTAAAAGTTTTGAAGATTCTACTATTGAATGAAACAAATGCTATTTCATCCAATTATACATTTATATTTGGGCAATATCTATTTTTTATCCAAACTTTTTTCAGATTCTTTTATATTATCAAAACTTATCGAAATACCAAGAATTAGCCAAATGTTAACTTCCAATTAGCAATTTTGTTAGTGATATTGACTTAACAATATGATACTAATTTGGAAGAGACTAATGAAGGTTAACATTCCAAAATTTTAATATTTTAACCAAGAAAAGAGTTACAAAATTATTAATGATAACATTAAAATGGCTAATCTTTTGATGCATTATGAAAGATTTGGATAACTAATAGAATTTTAATAGGTTTGGATAATATAAAAGAATCTGAAAAAAAAAATTGGATAAAAATAGACATTGCCCTTTATATTTTGCAAGGATTACTACTCTTTTCTAATCTCCCATAAACGAATAATTTTGACTCCAATATTCAATTGTGAAAAAAATTTGTCCCTATTTTATGGACAACTTTCGCTTCTTTATTGTGTTGACCGTTAATATTAACGATCAATCCAATAAATTGTTAATAACTCAATATATTTTGCTGACGTGGTTGACATGTAGCCGTTATGTCGTTCAAAAGCTTTTTATCCAAAATTTTGTTTTGAAACTTAAAAAATAAAATTTGAAGTGAAAATTTTGGCTAACATGGCATCCAACTCAATAACCAAACCAAAATGATCCATTATGCGTAAAACAAATTGACCATTTAGTTGCTCAAGGTTTCTTATTGGAGTTTGGTATACACTAGGAGAAAACTTTTGCGAGGTTTCAAAGATGCATGCTACCTTTCATCATCATAAAAGAAAAGAAGTTGCATACTAGCAGAATTATCTTTGTCGTAATTGTATTGAAAGAATGACATTTGATATAGGGGATCATTGCACACTCGATGGACATGATAAAGGGGGACTGAACGCGGTGTGAGAGTTGGTAGGGTCGTTGTATGGTTGGAACAAGCTCCTAGATAGGAATGGCAATGGAGCAGGTCCGGGGCGGGTTTCTTGGTACCCAGACCCGCCCCATGGCAGATCGGGTCCAGGTCGGGTAATTGATCACAGGTCGCGGGTCAGGGCAGGTCGACCCAATGGGTATGCAATTTATATTAAAAACATTAGAAATATTCGTTATTTTTATTATAAGACTAAGAAAACAAACAATATTATGACAATTGCAGTTAAATTATTGGAGAAATTGAGGTTTTCACTAATTTACAACTTTCTTATAGCTAAAATATGATGCAATAAAAGGAAAATCCTAAGTAATTTGACTAAGATTACATGTAAATTAGACAAGAACGGGTCGAGAATGGGGCATGTCAGGGCAGGTCGGGTCGATGAGACTACCCATGCCCGCCCCGCCCCGCCTACGTGGCGGGTCGGACCCGCCCAAAACAGGTCAAACAGGTCGGGTAACACGGGTCAGGTCGAAATTGCCATCCCTACTCCTAGAACTTAGTTTGAGAAGTTTCATGAAATCATTTTACTTCCTAGTTTCGACAAAGTGATAATGATCCTTCAATATTTTTTCGACAAACTAGGTTCAACCTCCAAGAGCAAGAAGAGGTTTCCTGTTTAATGGGATTGGAGATACATTGTTCAACATGTGGGTTGTTTGTATGTAAAAGCCGGGCTGAGATCGGGTGACTAAAGGGGGTCCCCTTAGTCACATGGCTAAGTGAATCTCGGCCACTCAACCTCATTAAAATTCAAGGGCTCCTATTAGTCCAATGTAATGAAGGGTAATGTAGTAATTTTGTGTTTATTTTTAATTTTTAATTAAAAAAAAAAGTGTGCGTCGCCTCCCCTCTCGGTGCGCCGCCGCCGGAGAATTTTTGCGTCGCCTCCCCTCTCGGTGCGCCGCCACCGGAGAATTTCCGAAGAAAGAATTTCCGCCGTCGCCATTATTCCATTCCCCTGGGCGCCATTTATTCCATTCCCCAGAGAGAGAGATGGGCGCCATATATTCCATTCCCGAGAGAGAGAGAGAGAGAGAGAGAGAGAGAGAGAGAGAGAGAGAGAGAGAGAGAGAGAGAGAGAGAGAGAGAGAGAGAGATTGATTCTGGTCGGAAAATTTTTTCCCGGCGACCATCGTGGACGGAGAAGAATTTTCCGGTGACAGTGCCAATTTTGTGATGTTTGTTGACATATTTTGTAATGTTTGTACGCTTTGTTATTTTGTAATGTTCGTAAACTTTGTTATTTTTGTGCACCATGTTTGTCATTTTTGTCCACCATGTTCGTACTGTTTGTATGTCTAAAAAACACCCGGGTTGACTTTGGGAAGGAGCCTTCAAAGTCAACCCGGGTGTTTTTTCCCGTTCGTATGGATTGTCGGTCTAGTTTGTCATTTTTGTCCACCATGTTCGTACTGTTTGTATGTCTAAAAAAACACCCGGGTTGACTTTGGGAAGGAGCCCCTCTATATAGGGATGGAGCCTCAAAAGTCAACCCGGTTGTTTTTTCTTTTTGTATGGTTTGTATTGTTTGTCGGTCTAGTTTGTATTGTTTGTACAGTTCATACGTTTGTAATGTTTGTAAATCTGTTTGTATGTTTTGTCGCTCTAGTTTGTACTGTTCGTATGTTTGTATGGTTTGTACTGATTGTAAATCCAGTTTGTATACTTCATAATTTTTCATAATACCCAAACTACCCCTG